AGGGATCATTTCCAAAGCACCCAGACTGGACAGCAGCACAGCTTTCATTACCGTGTTTCATATTGTGGGTATGAACAGTGTGATTTAGTCTAATCTACTTTTTGCATTTCAGTGTGAATCTGTATGTTGTAAGCAAATGTGAAGACACTGGGGAATCCAGAAAATAAAAAACCCTCCTTGGAACTGAGAGAGAGAAATCAGTGCCTAATAATCTGAAAGAAGACCCAAAATCTTTTCTTCCAGTGATGCTTCTGTCACTGGCCAGCAAAACTCCATTCTGGTTTTATTGTAAAGTGACAGATCCTTACTAATGATTGGCATTGGCTTGATTCAAAGGTTCTTGAAGTCAGCAGCAAGACTGCAAATGACATCATTGTATGGTGGATCAGGCCCTAATTGCTTCTCATGAATCTGTCTTTGCCTTGAGTGAATCAAAGTTTTATAGCTTTAGCAGCTATGTGCTAGCTAAAACATTTTAAAACCCATTAGTACATTGCTCATTCCCTACCCGTGTTTCCTCTGTTCAAAATTGATTCTCTTCAATTTTTTAACCAAAGAACAGGGTTGGTTGAAATTTTTTTTGCACAAAGAACTTCTGTTTCTTTTTGTTGTTGTTGTTGTAGAGAGAGACTTAAGTGAGAAATATTTTTTCCATTAACATTTATCAGTTATCTGAGTTATGGAGAGAGAGACTTAAGTGAGAAATATTTTTCCATTAACATTTATCAGTTATCTGAGTTAGTTTTGTAGCGTTTTCATGATCTTTCATCAGACTGCTGATTAATGTATTTCAGCATTCATTTCTCAGTGTTCCAGAGCCCATCTAAGAATCTCGGGTTCCCTAAAAGCAAGCATTCAAGAAACAAGTTCAGTTATGACTGTAGTTAAATGCACAAATTGAAACACAGAAAATCTCACAAAGGCTGGGGGAGAGAGATCCTTTATTGATCCCTGGCAGTCATAAATATGTTAGGCAGGTCCTCAGGTGGGTGCCATTGTGTAGTCCTGGCTAGGCTGCTCCACCACCATTGGCATTAACCTCAGGAAAGGCTCCCTCTCCCAGTGCTGCTGCTTCTCTTCTAACTTCTTCTGCCATGGGGACGTTAGGGATCAAA